CTCATGCAAAGAAGACCACCTCATGCAAAGAGAGAGACTACCTCATGCAAAGAAGACCACCTCATGCAAAGAGAGAGACTACCTCATGCAAAGAAGGAGACCACCTCATGCAAAGAGAGAGACTACCTCATGTAAAGAAGACCACCTCATGCAAAGAGAGACTATCTCATGCAAAGAAGACCACCTCATGCAAAGAGAGAGACTACCTCATGCAAAGAAGGAGACCACCTCATGCAAAGAGGAAAACTACCTCATGCAAAGAAGACCACCTCATGCAAAGAGAGAGACTACCTCATGCAAAGAGAGAGACTACCTCATGCAAAGGATGAGAGACCAAAAATAATGAATTAATTTTAAAAACAGTCTTTTTTTAATCAAATCATTAGTTTTTAATCTTTAATTAAAGATACGTACACTTATACTTTTTTCTCATCTAACAAACAGGGATATATAGACTTTATTTTTAAAATAAGTTATCTTTAATGTTTTTTGTCACAATAACATTGAAAATGTGCAAGAAATAGTTTGGGTTTCCTTTCTTTTTCCAAGTGTTTATTTAATGAGTTATATCAATCTACTGAAAGTTTCTTCTTTTAAATGAATCATGTACTAAAATAATCAGTAGCAACCAACCAATGAGAACACTGGAATCTCTCACTCTGGAATTTATTTGTAACAGAAGCCAGCAGTAGTTTTCCTCCATGTTTATATGGCCATCTTTTATTCACTAACATACAAACATTTGCTTTTGTTTGTGAAGATCCATTAAAAAGATTAATTATTTTCAGAGATTTTTGGTCACGACTACTCCAACACTGCCCAGCTCTAACCATTAGAGGGCAGCAGAGGAATAATAACCAGATTCTCTGCTTTAGCTTCCAACAGCTGTGGGACCAAATAATGTGTACTCAGTGACCTCTGCAGAGAAGCAACATCAAATTTTGGGAGGCTTGGGTTCAAAGCAAACAGCCATCAAGTGTGCAGCAAAAAATAGAGAGGTTCTAATGACTTCTCAGCCCATTTTTAGCCCAAAGAAACACACAAAGTGGTGAATAAAAAGTAGTCTGGTGATGTCATACTTATCAAAATGCTACTGAGGAGTGTGTATGCAAATTACGCCTGTATAAAAAAGTGCTAACAGAGCACAATGTTAAGTTGGAGGTGCTGTGTGTGCAATGCATAAGTACCCCCCCCCCAAACTTAAGATGCAAGAATGGTCTGATGTAACACCCTGGTTACAGCCAGAGGGTCCTCTGAACGAGAACCACTGCACTGCATGGCTGTTTCTAACAGTTTCTATCTCACTCTTTTTAAAAATAAATTCATCAATAATATCTCATCAAGTTCTGTAGACTGTTGCCTTGGAGAACCCATATCTATACCCTTGGAAATCCTCGTTCATTACATGATGGGGGAGCTCACCTGTGCTGGACACTCCTACCACGTTACTGGGCTCGCTGACCGTGTCATCCATGACAGCCATGATGCGAAACTCATACCAAGCTTCCTGGGAGGACAGGAACAGGGGAATCATTGGTGCATTAATATAGACAGCACAGATCAGATGAAAGGCTTCAAAGCTAAAAATACACCTTCTCTTTACCATAGCAGCCACATCCATCCGTTTACCATCCAGAGAAACTAATCGAATGTGTTTTCATCCTTTGTTTAATACAAAACAAAACTAGCCAGCAAACATATAAAACATATTAGAATGTAAATCTAATATGTTTTATATCTAATAAATCTAATAATCTGCTGTAATATTATAAAGTTCATTGGATTAAAAGTAACCGTTCCTTTAAACTGAGGGATAGTCTGCCTTAGACCGCACTGCCTGACTGCAGATGTTTAAGGTTTATATGCAGGAGAATTAAAAGCCTGCCGATGAAATGTTCAGAGCTTTGCATCCAACATTTATTTATACCTGCTTAATTTGTGTCGTCATGGAGAGGATGCTTCCTATCTGCAGCAGTAATTGGGTGGGAGAGCACCCTGTTCAGCTCACCAGTCCATCACAGACAGAAACAACCACCTACACACAGCCCTGTTTCTATAAATCACCCTGCAGGGTGTGGGACCCATTCTAGGACCTTCTGGGCTCCCCTCACTATCATTGGCAGGACCTAGTTGTGAGCCACACTGCAACTAAAATACTATGTTGGGATGCAGTCAGTTCTGTGAATCAGATACAAGAAACTTTATCCTTAAAAATGACATGGAATAAGAAAATAAATGCTTCCTAAGATAAAAATATTAATTTATGCTATTACACAATAGAAGTATTTAGGATTAGAAATAAAATACAGAGCAAATGAAAGCTGAAGTCATCATTTCTGGGCCAAAGGAAAGTTAGCGCCCAGCTTTAGGGCGCTAAAGATGGGCGCTCAGACCTGACCTGTCAGAGACTCATCAAGACAGAAACAAAGTGGGCCTTCTATCACCTGAGGAACATCTGCATGATTAAATGACTAATGTAAAAAACAACTTTATGCTTCATTCATCTATAGTAGAATTGATCCCCGCAGCGGCGTCTCCACAGGTCTGCCTAGAAAGTCAGTGTATTCTCATTATCAGTTTAACACACTTTAAATCCTTTCTGCACATTCTTTTCAAACTAAACTTTGCTTTGAACTGTTGTGTGCTTGGAAAAATATAAATTGTAATGTTAAAAATCTAAAAAAAACTTGACAGGTTAAAAACTTAAGATAAATCACAAGA